GTAAATCGACCAAATGGTGGAACGACCAGTCGCTATGATGCACACTGACCACCAGGGGGCAGATGTCCAATGCAGGGCTGCCCCCTGGTAGTCAGTGAGCTCCCACAGAGGGAGCGTCGCTCAGCCAGAAGCCCGGCTTACAGCTGGCGGGTGCAGCAGTGGTGGCAGAAGTCTCTCCCACCTCCGCAGCAGTCAGACATCCCCTGAGGGCTTCCGGACTGTGAGAGGGTGCAGGCTGGGCTGAGGGACACCCCCCTCCCATCCTCAGTGTACGAATTTCGTGCACTGGGCCTCTAATTGTACTATAGAAAGAAAGAAAAAATCAATGCTATGAATGACACTGAGCATAAAAAGATCAAATTACTGCAAATTGTCTTCCATGGCTCCACCACTGCCCAATCAGCAAGCATCCAAACTCCTTTTGCATAGCTCTTGATCTTGGTTAACATCCCTAGCACCTTCTGTTCACCCCACATCTCACCCCATTACTTTCTGCCCAACTGTTAATAAATGACAAAGAAAGAATAACATGCCCTAGCCAGTTTGGCTCAGTGAACAGAGCATCCGGGTTTGATTCCAGTCAAAGGCATGTACCTTGGTTGCAGGCTCAATCACCAGTCCTGGTTGGTTGGGATCCTGGTTGGGGTGCCTGCAGGAGGCAACCAATTGATTTGTCTTTCTCACATTGATGTTTCTATCTCTCCCCCTCCCTTCCACTCTCCCTTTAGAAATCAATGGAAAAATATCCTAGGGTGAGGATTAAAAAGGAAAACAAAAAAAACAAGAAAGAATAACATTGCAATAGAAATGGTATAGAAAAGCTCATTATTTTGCTCCACTGATAGAATTTAGGACAAAAAGCTGCTATTAGCACAATGCCAGATTATCAGTTAACACCGACTACTAGTATGTCAGGAACTAGACCTTAAGCTGTGAGACCAACACTAGGCAGAAATTAAGTAAATGCACTGGAGGAAAAAATTTAAAGCTACTAAAGAGATTTTTTAAATGATAAAGCAATTTGTTACTGGAAATTACTTTTGGTTTGGGTAGTTTTTTTAAGGTTCTAAACGTTAAAATTGGTGATTCATAATATTTGATACTAAATTTCTGTGAAAATGCATCTTTCCCCTGCATCTCTTACAACAAATCAGTTTCTAATCCATCTGAATGATCTTTTTAACAAGCTGAATTGCTAATCCCTGCTAGAAACCCCCTAGTAACTTCCCACTACCATTGCTTACACACAATAACTCCAAACTCACATTACTCCACTCTTGCCAATCTAGCCTCCTACATGTAACTTTGGTGGGTTCAAAAAATACTAATCTCACCCTGGCTGACTGGCTAAATTGGTTGGGCCTTGTCCTGTGCACTGAAGGGTTGCCGGTTCGATTCCTGGTCAGAGAACATGCCTGGGTTACAGGACTGATGTAGCTCTCATATCAATGCTTCTCTCTCTCTCTCTCTCTAAATCAATTTTAAAATCTTTTTTAAAAATACTAATCTCTTTCTAAAAGAAAATAGTTGAAAGAATTAGGTACTGTATATTCAATTTCTATGAGCAACACATGGGCATACATTTAAACTTAGTGAATACTGGTAAGAATACAGGTAAATTATGAAAAAGAAAAGGCATCCATTTCTGCCTAGATGTCAAACAATCAAAGTATTACTTAAACTACTAGAAGACAGCTTTTTCCTTCCAAGATTTGAATAAGTTTATCTCCTGATAATGAATAACTGAGTCAATGACCCTGTACTTCTGCGTAACAAATTCAACAAACATTTGGATGCAAATTTTATGGGGAATCCTGAAGTTAACGCATGAAGCAAAAATCATTGTCAAAATTACTTTTGAAAATTCTTTATTTTTTAATAATTTTAATTATTAATTTATTGGGATGACATTGGTTTAAAAAATTATATAGGGTTCATGTGTGCAATTCTATAATACATGATCTGTATATTGCATTGCATGGTCACCACCCAAGTCAAGTCTCCTTCCATCACCATTTTATCTCCTCCTTATATCCTCTTCTACCTTCCCCAACCCCGCTTTCCCTCTGGTAATCACCATACAATAGTCTGTCGTAGTCTCTGGTGATGAGGTTTGGTGGCGTGTATTTTTTTATTTCTTTAGGAAAGCACCGCACAGGAGATGCAAGGTAAGTGCTATTATCTTCATTTTATATATAAAGAAACTGAAACCCACAGAGACTGAGAAATATGCCAAAGGCAGAATTCAAACTCAAGCAATCAGACTCCAGATTGCCTAAACTTGACTTCTACAGTGCATGGATTGTTATCCATGATTTATTAATATGAATCTTTATCATTAGAGTCACACCCAGATTCACACTCCTGAACAGAAACAAAGAAAACAGATTTAGGTATCATATGTTGCTCACCACTGTTGACTCCAAGGCGAAAAGATCATTAACTGAAAAGAGAATCATCAGCACAATTAGATCTTTTTCTTTCTTTTTGCCAAGGAAATATAACTGAATTCATTTTAGTTAAAAGCACATTTGATATGACTCAACTGTACAACCACCAACAGGATAGTCTTTATCCTGAAGAAACACAAGAGATCAGTGCAGGAAATAAGAGTATAAACTGGCAGCCTCTCAAAAGAACTATTACTGATCAAAACACAGAAACCTCAGTTCACATGTACAGAAAATGTACATTAGGTGATTAGTATATTAGTATTAGTATAACTAATAACCAGAAAATTTTTAGTCCAAAGAGTAAGTAGCAACTGCATACACACACAAATACCAGTACACTCAAAACTATCTGGCTA